TGGTGTCGAATCGTACGGTGTCGAATAATTTCGTGTCGAATCGTACGGTGTCGAATAATCTGGTTAGGTACCTTCCCCTCTCCGATCCTTGGCGCCGACCGAGCTGTCCGGCAGGCGAAAGGTCGAGCAAAGCCGATAGAAAATCGACTCCGTTACATGGCGCCCAAACAGGGACCGTTTTTTTAGCCCAGTAAAAATTGCGACACTGCGGAGCGCGTAATGCCAGGCACGAGAGCTTGGATCCATGCCCTCTCGAAAGAAGAATTAATCGAGACTTTACAGAAGTATCACGTCGAAACTTCCGACTCAATTGACGAGCTACGAAAACGGTTAAAAATTTTCGCGGAACGTAATCCCGATTATTTTACCGACAAACCTGAGAAAGCCCCGACCACAACAATGACCGACAGTACCCCTGGCGCTAGGAGTGGAAAACTATCGATAGTACTATCGGAACTATCGATGGCGACTGACTATCAAGTGACTATCGATAGTCAACCTCTACTATCGATAGTTTTCGATAGTCAAAAATTTTATGTAAAGATGCGTTCACTTTGGACGTCAGTCTATGGAAGCGGTCAAAGTCTCACTACAAATGTTTCAAAGTATTGTTTTATCTTTAATCCTTGTTAAATGTAGTATAAAGATAGAACGATGCTTCGAAACATTTAATAGGGAGACTTCGACCGCATCCTATCTTTGTTCTTACATTTGAAGAGCAATATAATAGTTACGTTCAGAAACTCAACAGTTGCACAATGGTTGAGAGATGATCACTTATGATTGGATCATACTTTTAGAACCGAAGCAAGTTTTGAGGAATAGTTCTATCACAAGTGATGATCTCTCAATCATTGTGCAAATGTTAAGTTTTCTGAATCTAATCAACAAGCTCGCTTTCATTTCGTTTCGTGAGAAAACACAAATTTCTTCAATCAATTGTCTTCCTAAGTCGTAAGTAGATATCTTTAGATAGATCTTTCATATATGCGATTACTTTAGCATGCTTTAGCATTATCTAATATTTTGTTTTCCATTCTAGCACTTGAAGCAAAGCTAAGTACTAATAAAATGGAAAAGTTTTTATGTAACACAATTGATAGTCGTAAGTAACTTAAACATCCCTTTTATGTACTCATCTAGTTTAGATGCTTTCTAGTAAAACACAGTGTAACACAGTGCTTATTAGTGTAAGAAAGATCATATCAGTGCATCTCACACTAGTGGACATTGTGTTATACGGTGTTTTGCTGGAAAGCATGAAAGCTTGACTTGACTTAATATTTTTATTTTATAACTTAATATTGTATTGTTTCTTTTAGCAAAAGCATCGCCCACAAGTCCGAGTTGTGTTTGCATTCCAGAATCTGAGACAGACAAGCAAACACAACTCCCGATTCGATAACACCCAAAAGGAAAAAAGGGACTTCCAAAGTGGAAATATTTTAAAAAATCTTCAGAAAAAAAATTTGCCAAATGTCTAAATTGTGGCAAAGAATATAAAACAAGTGGCAACACAACGAATCTGCAAGATCACTTAAAAAGATTTCATCTAAATCTAAGTGATGAAGAAGGTGAATGTGAAATTACACAGAAATTGTATCCAAGCAGTACATCTGAGAATAGTAGCAGTAATCGATCAAGTATGAAATCAGTAAGCTTATATTTTAAACGTACTTTAATGTACGATTCTACTTCATCAAGAAAAAAAGAACTTGACACAGCTTTAATGTGGACGGTGGCTTCGGATTTTCAGCCATATAATATTGTCGAAAACAAAGGTTTTAAAGAATTTGTATATACCTTAGATCCACGTTATACGTTACCAAGTAAGCACATGCTGAAATATAATTATATTAATAAATTTTATAACAAAGGAATAAAAAAAATATTTTAAAAGATATGTTAAATAATGCTCAATACATAGCAATTACGTGTGACACTTGGACATCCTGCTCGAATGAGAGTTATTTGTCAGTGACAAGTCATTTTCTGAATTCAAATTTTGATTTAAAATCTGCAATACTTGCAGTACAAAAATTAAATGATGTGACAAATCATACAGCAGAAAATATAGCACACACTTTAGAAGATGTGTTTAATAAATGGAAAATTAAAAATAAAATGATGTGTGTTCTGAATAAGAAGAAGCAACAATTGCTAGTTTATTTTGAGGATTGTTCAAAATTTGAAATGCATATGCAAGCAATCAAGATACTGTGTGGTGATTCGGATTTTAATCTACAACAGCTGTATCATTGCGCATTAAACACAGAAAAACTATTATATTTATGGAATGCAAACAGAAGGTAAATTCTTTTAATTGTTTATCATTGTTTTATGGAGATTTTTGACAATTTCTTTTCTAGATATTCCGGTGGCATTAGTTTTATATTGCAGAAAACTGATGTTTTGAACTATATGGGATATCAGAACATGAATATAAACATTTTGATTTGCGTGGATAGATGTTGCTTACATCACTTTGATATCACGCAGAAAAATAAAAAAATTTGAAGCACAAATCTTCACTGTTTATTAATATTTGTGCTTTTTTGTTCAATTGTATAATATCATTGTCTTGATCAATATTGTTACTTTTTCTGTACTGAACCAGTTGCGAGAGATTTTCAGTGGAAACGCCGCGTAACTCCATTTTTGCCGCTATCTGGATACTTCTCATTTTTTCTCATGCAAGTATAGTTTAGAAAAAACTGTATTGTCAAAAATATACAAAAATATATTTCATTTTATAAGCAGAATTGTAAGAAGACATATAAATCAGTGTATTCTGTACAGGCTTCTCTTTTTTGAGGATTGTTCAAAATTTGACAAAATATGCAAGCAATCAAAATATCGTGTATCAGTAGTTATTTGATTTTAACCGACAAAAATTGTCATAAACGTATTAAACTCAGAAAAACTATTGCATTCATATTAAATTTTGTAAATTAAAAGTACATTAAATTACAATTAGAAATTTATNGTGTAAAATTTGTAAAAATCTACGACATCCTATAACTTATTTTTGTCGTCACAAACTGATATCAAATCATGATTGATTTATGGTGTAATTGTTTTATTACTAGTTGAATTGCACACTGTGCTCACTATCTGCTACATTTCGATCGACATGCCGTGAAAACCGATCAAAATCAATTTTTGCATTAAATTTATTAGTAACAGCTGACATTACAAATCCTGTTCAATATCTGCTTCATTTTTGGCGTTCTAACGCAACGGTAAAACATGCTGCATTTCTGTTGTATATCTGCTGTCAGTAACTGCAATAGCAGAACCTGTTTAATATTAGCTCCATTTTATTCTTTACGTTATGACAGTAAACTTTTCTTCATTTCTTTCGCATTTTTGCTGTGTTTCTTTCTTTGCATATCGTCACTACACAATTCACTCATATTTAACACATAGCTGAGTGGAATCTGCTGCGAAGTGCTGATTAGACCTGCTGGCATACTGCTATCATTTGGCTATCGGGGAATGGGTAACGAGCTAAAGCCTTTACCTGATATTGCCTCAAAATATTTAAGTGTTCCGGCATCGTCCGTTTAATCGGAAAGAATCTTTAGTACAGCTGGAAGACTTACAGAGAGACGTGCCCGGTTGAAAGAAAAAAATGTAAATATTCTCGTCTTTATGCATAAAAATAGATGGATTTTTGATACTTAATTATATTTAAAGTATTCTCTCTTCTTCTGCTTCTCTCTCTAATTTTCTATAATAAATAATTACTTAAGAAATAAATAATATAATAATAATAATCTTAAAAAAAGTAAAATAATAATCTTAAAAAAGTAAAATAATATAATAAAAGATAAATAAAAAGTTTCTATAGTCATTTTACTTAAAAAGTACTATCAAAAACTATCGATAAATTATCGATAGTTTATTCAAAACTATCGAACACTATCGATGGTAGCGACTA